TTCCGGGATCGATTTATCGCGTCTTAACCAGACGCGATAAATCGATCCCAGAACATTGATTGCCTGCCGCCGGATCCTCCGGTAAGTGAAGACGTACCCTCAAACTGAATAGGCAAAGAGGGAGTTTCTCTCCGCCACCCCTGAGCCACAGTATGCTTCACCTCTCATCAGCAGGGTGGTTTTGTTATACATCTGGTCACATTCAAACTCGGGTGAATCCCTCCTCCTCCCATCCCCCCCACTTCCTTCTACAGTTGTTAATGTTGTACTGTTAAGGAGCTGAACTCCATACCAGAAGTTTCTGTGGCGTTGTAGTGGTAGGATAAGTGGTGGGTGTTTTTTTGTTTTTGTTTTTTTTACATCCCTTACCTGCTTCTCCAGTGTCCTGTGCGGCTTTTTTAGACAATTGTAAACCACTTAGAACATCTTGGACAACGGGCTCTACAAATTCTATAGAACGATAAAGGTTTCCATACTTGTCTTATTTGATTGGGCAGCTTTCCAAAGGCCTGGGACACAGCAAGTTCCTTTTATACATTAAATGACAAGACTCCTTGTGGAAAAAGCACAGACCGTCACTGCCTGGAATCAACACTGTTTGATTTTACAAACTGAACACACACTTCATGTACACGAACACCTCTCCTCTCTGTCTGCACTTGCTGTTGATGAATCACTTATTTTAAATCTCTCAGACGTAGAGTGGAAAGTTTATAAGCTTTGCAACTACACACTTATTTCTGAAGAAAATTGGGGTGAAATCTACCACGGTGCAGAGAGCCAGCACAAGATCTAGGCACCTCTGAGGTCACTGGTGGCTGGGTCTTGTGCTGTCTCTCTGCACATGAGTGAATTTCATTCATAGGTTAGAGCCTACCAGCACCTCTGTGCATGATGAACTTTATTCACAAGTAGTCCCATTGAAAACGTGCAAGTAATGTTGAACCCTTTGCAGGACCAGGGCTGTATTGAATTGCCCTTAGGCAGCATGTATCCTACTCAATTGTAGAGTACACCCGGCTAAAAGCTCAGGGAGCACAATTCATGTTTTCACGCCTACTTTTTCAACATGAAGGCTGAATCATTCACAGGAAACTTTTTTCTGCTATTTATATATAGCGTAATAGTTTTTTAATGGGAAACTAGCCAATTGGTTATGACAACTCAGCTGAAAGATCAAGATCCTTTGCTGTTCTTCTGGAAAGGGCTACTAATTTTGTTCACAGCACAAAGGAAGATGAAAGGACAATATGGCATCACTCTGTCGTGCTCACATTTCACACAGGTTACAGCCAAAATAAAAATACATTTGTAATCTTGCACCCAATCTCTTCCAAAATTTTTTTTTTCAATTAATAGATAACCCCCTCCCCCCCCCGGAAAAAAAACACACTAATCACCATACACTCTTCATCTGTCTCATCCTGCAACAAGTAACCCAGAACTTTGTTTATGCTTGCTCTTCAGTGCTCCAGCGGGCATTGGGACTTTAATGCTGTATTCTGGGTCTTGAGCAGTCTTGGAAAAAGTGGCTATTGAAACCATATCTTCTCCAATATCCACCTGAGACCTGCGCCTGCAGATGAACAGCTTCTTCAGAGCCCGTTGGAAATCCCGATTCAGAAAGGCGTAGAGCATGGGGTTGATAGTAGAATTGCAATAACCTAACCAAGTTATGATCTTGAAGGCATCAACCAGGACTGCGCTGGTGGAATTGGTACCTTTAGCAGCTAGCCATACATTCAGAACAAAGTAGGGTAACCAGCACGATATGAAGACTGAGATGATGATGCTAATTGTCCGAGTGGCTTTGTTTTCCAGCTGCAGGTTGTTCTGCCTCTTGCTGTTGGGATGGTAGTGAATTTCAAGGGACTGAGACATGATGCGGGTGGCCTTGAGTCGTGATGCTCGGTAGATGAAGAAATACATGCTGCACATAATCATGAACGGGACAAAAAATGCCAGGGCAGAAGCTACGATGGCAAAAGTCCAGTTGGTGACAAAGATGCACTCTTTGCCAGCATCAAAATCTACACCTGGTATCTCATTCCAGCCTTGCATGACTGGTAGGAAGGAAATGAGGGAGGAGTATACCCAGACCATGCAGGTCATTATGATGCACCTGCAAATGGAAGAGCAGGAAGGTAAAAACTTGGGAGCACAAGTTATTCTGAGATCTTCCTTTGAAAACAGCTGACACTAATGATACTCCACAGGTGTGTGGTGGAGATTAGTTATGCTTCTGAAGAGGTAAGTATAGAGAAGCCTGAGATGCAATGTTTTGGTCCAAATTTGAACATTTCCAAGGTCTGGGTTATTTGGATTAGGCTTATGTTTAGGCCAGTCTGTGTGTCAGGGACCAATAGAACTGTTTGGAAAAATAGGGGGAAACATTGTTTCAGGGAATATTTTCTGTTAGAGTATTGAAACATTTTAAAATTTCCAACCAGTTGTAGGGTCAGGAGGTGATAGTCATCTTACGCTTTTAAGACGTGATGCCCAAACTTTGCAACCCTTTGCCACAGCTTAGCAGGGGACCCTAATTTCCCATCTAGATTTATGATTTTTTTTTTATGGACACATGCAGCCATACTATTAGCTAAAGCTCTTATCTTGCAAGAGAGTGATACAACACAATTGCTGGCTGCAGAGGGCAAGGCCAGGGCACCTGGAAAGTCTCACTTACCTAAAGTGTCCCAGCAGCCCTCTCCTGTGGGTTTCCTATGGAACACTGGTAGGAGCTTAAACCTGCCCTCACCACTGGAACTCCTGGGTTAGGATGGTGAGGGTAAATCCATGACATGCCCACACCTTGAATACTGCATCCAGTTCTAGTCATCCCATCTCAGAAAAGATAGTTAGAATTGCAAAAGGTACTGAGAAGGGCAATGAAAATGATTAGAGGAATGGAACAGCTTCTGTATGAGGAGAGATTTAAAAGACTGGGATGGTTCAACTTGGAAAAGAGATGATTCAAGGGGGGAATCTGACAGAGGCCTACAAAATTGTGCCTGAAGTGAAGAAAGTGAATAAGGAAGTGTTATTTACCCTTTCACATAATACCAGAACCAGGGGTCACCCAATGAAATGTATAGGCAGTAGGTCTACACCAAATATAAGGAAGTACTTCCTCACACACTGCACAGTTAACCTGTGGAACTCATTGCCAGGGGATGTGAAGGCCAAAAGTATAACTGAGTTCAAAGAAGACTTAGATAATTTCATGGCTAATAGTCAGTGATGGACCTATCCTCCAAGATGGTCAGGGATGGGAACTTCATGCTCCAGGTGTCCCTAAACCTCTGAGTGCCAGATACTGGAACTGCATGATGGGGGATGGATCACTCTAAATTGCCCTGTTCTGTTCATTCCCTCTGAAACGTCTGGCACTGGCCACTGTCAGAAGACAGGACGCTGGGCTTGATAGACCATTGGGCTGACCCAGTATGGCCATTCTTGTGTTTTTCGGAGGTTCTACTACCTACATTTTCCCGGGCATAGCTACCTCCTGAAACATGTAGGTGGGCACACTGACTCCCTTGTTCCTGCAGGTATGTATGAAGCCTGTAGCACTACCTAATACTCACTACTAGCCAAATAATTTTGCAACATGTTCTTAATTCAAAAGGGGCATTCATAGAAGTGCATGCAGGCCAGGTTAGCCATGGGGTTCTTTATATCTTACCGCATCCTCCACACCAAAAAAGCATAAAAGTAGGGCTCTTTAAATGGTGCAAAGGGCTGCTTATCAAATACGGATCAGATTTTGGGTGGTGGCAGCGAATGGCTCATCTGGAACGGTCATAGCCCATAGTAAGGGTGTGTTCCACATCTGAGTAAAAACTCTGAAGGATTTAGGCACTCAAAAATTAGCCCTATAGGGAGTTAAATATAAATAAACTCGTAGCTGAAAGCCTGTCCTGTCACACAGGTGTGGCATTTGGGCCAACTAATCCACCATCTGTGCAGTCTCCCTCACAACCAATGAAAGTGTTGCATGCAAATTAGCTGTAGAGTGAGGGTGGTGATTGGTTGTTACCTCTGAGATCACAATGGTTTAGGACTCTTGGCATGGAGTACATGCCTTACTGTAGCTGTACATGGGTGTAATTCATAACATCAAAATGTCTGAGAACCTAAAAATTGGACAGCGATGACAGTGAACCCCAGTGGTGACTGAACCTGGTGATATTCTAAACAAAAAGAGCTCTCCGCCATGCCTGTTGCTGTTTCTATCACTTCACACTGTACAGACATTCTAGGCTTCAGAGTGACAATCCTGGGATCTTATTACATAGATACTATTTTAGAATATGAGACTTGATAGCCTGTGTCTAGGTACTTGTATGGTCTCCATTATTGTAGTATTGGACTGCCTCACAGTCTTTCTTTAGCCTCACAACACACATCTGTGAGGCAGGGCAGCACTATGATCTTATAGATGGGGGAACTGCGACACAGAGACTAAGTGACTTGCCCAAGGTCACACAGGAAGTCTGTGGCAGAGCAGGAAATCAAGTCAGGCTTTCCCAAGTCCCTTGCTAGCACCCTAACCACTGGATAAGTCTTCCTCTCAATTCTTGATCTTAAATTATTCTTTCTTAATGTGTGCAGTGCTTAGCTCCTATTTGAATTTGAGGTGTCAGAGCAGAGATGACAATCTGCCCAAGTTAGCCCTCCAGGGATGTTTAATGATAGTTGTTAAACCCTGGAATTGGGACTGATGATGGAATGTCTGACAGATCCTAAAACTTCCCTCCATTTCTACGATCTTTTGAGAAGTATACTCGCCTTCGACGTGACATCCTCATTGAATAATGATAGGGGGTCACCACGGAGCAATATCTATCCAGACTGATAAAGCACAATGTGACAATGGACGCCGTGCAGAACATGACATCAAAAGAGATCCACACTTTACAGAACAGCCTCCCGAATAGCCACATCCCCGTCACCTCATAAATTATGCTGTGGGGTGGAAAGAGAGAGAGAGCACAATATATTGTTACAGTTGAAGAGTGATTGATTATTTTTCTGCTATGGAGAAGCCTATTGACCCAAGTTAATGTCGTACCCCGTTGGCAAGATTAGTGAAAATATGGCGGCTTCAATTGAGATACATTGAAATTTTGTTAGGAGGCAAATTGGAGTAATCCCCAAGTTTGATGCCCAAGGCTTTAGCCTGCTATGGGACATAGCTACGGTCCCACTTATGCTACCAGCTGGAACACTGTTTTAATGGAATCCCTTGGCATGGTTGCAGTTTTAGTGCAGATCATCTCTAATTTATTAGTATTTTCATATATTATGTTTGTCACCGGCTTCTTCAGTGCCTCAAGAAGACACTTATGGAACCAAAACGAGTGAGCTAGTCTTCACAACAGCTCATATTTTTGAACTCTTTTTGAATGAGTGATCAAATCCTCAGTTATGTAAGGCATGTATTTTAAGATTCCAAACCATGGAAACGGCTGTCCTTACGGATAGATATGGAAAATTTCCTTCACATCTTCATTTTTGCCCATCTAAATCTGGAGCATTGGAAGATTAACCTCATCTTTTGCACTGTAGAATTTTTCAGCATGCTGGATTTTGCCTCTTTTGTATAAAAACATTTTTTTTTATCATCCTCCCAAAAAATAATGTATTAATTTTTTTCTCAGCCACCGGCAGTAATCAACTCAGTGGCAAATTTTGCCCTTTTTGTACTATGCTGAAAAAGAGAGTTTATATTATGTTCTAACTGACATTTTGATGTATTATCTGGATGGTGCTGTTTTAGATTGTGTATGTTTGGGGGGGGGGTTGTATTTGACAAAGACAGATGTCATCTGTGATTTAATAAACATTGAACTGCATAGTCTTCTCATGATATTTCAGTTCCTGGGCTTGGAATAGCTTCCCTCCTCCAATGTTCCAAGCCTCTTCGGTACTTCCCATCTGGTCTGCCTCTTCAGATCTCATGCATTTTAGCTTCTGGATAATGGGATTCATATGAGAACCCCAGTTCTCATGTTATTTAGCCTATAAATGACTCACGGAGGCAAGTAAGCCAGTGAAAACCACTCACCTGTACCAAAATATTACCAACAAAGTCAGAGAAACAGTAACAAATGAGTAACCAGTCAGGAAGCTTGAGGTAGGAGTACAACGGGCTGTGTAATCTGCGATGCTATAGTATTTACCTGGCTGCAATTTGCTTCTTCCTACTTTTACCAGTTTTATATAAGTCTTTGGCTTCTGCAGTAACTTTCTCTTGGACTTTGTTATGTGACACAGTGAACAAGTCACTGCCTTTGTGAGAATTAATTCCCTTCTCCTTCCCTGCAACTATATAGCTTCGTAGTCTCTTAGCACTAAAACCACAGCAGTTGCTCTAACCCTATTGGAGTTCTTTCAGCTCTGCTGGCTAGAAAGAGGAAAGGAATAAAATCTATAGATAATGCTTTTTTTAAATGCTTGGGTTTGGTTTAACTAATTTCATTAGTATTAATTAAAACTACTTTTACAGGTTACAATTGTTCTGCCACTTCAGAATGGTAATGGCACTCACTGTATTAGCATCTTGGTTTGAGCATTGGCCTGCTAAACCCAGGGTTGTGAGTTCAATCCTTGAGAGGGCCATTTAGGGACCTGGGGTAAAAATCTGTCTGGGGATGGGTCCTGCTCTGAGCAGGGAGTTGGACTAGATGACCTCCTGAGGTCTCTTCCAACCCTGATATTCTATGATCTGTGCGTCAGTACAAGCTAGAGGCCCCGGTCAGTACCAGAGCCTTGTTCCAGGGGATGTTGTACAAACATTTATCTGAGGAGTTAGCGGGAGCTCTGTGTGTTGTCTTATATGGCCCCATTACAGTAGTATTTGAGCACCTCCTAGTGTATAACATTTATCCTCATAACACCCCTGTGAGGTAGGGAAGGGCTGTTATCCCCTTTTTACAGACGATAGGACAGATTCACAAAGGTAGTTAGGGGCCTAAATCCAACGTTCTGGTGACATTCTCAAAATCACTGCTCAGCAGCCCCTTAGCTCCTGATTCTCTGAGCTGCTGCCAATCAGTATTTGCAAAGCTGCTTGAGTCCTGATGCCTCCCCACTTCTAATGACCTGCTCAGAGCCCTCGTGCGAGCCAGTTCCCTGGTTGCCCTGAAGCAGGATTTTTGAAGTAGGCATTACCCTGCCTACCTTGGCCCAGGGGCCCAACTCCTGAAGGTATGCTGTCAACCTCACATCTTTCCTGCTGGACATCTTCCACTTTGTAACAGAGCAGGAACTAGAACCTGCATCTCCTACAGCCAAACAGAGTGACCTAACCAGTCAGCCGAATAGATAACATGCACACTCTCTAGACACCAATAATCTCCTAAAGCTTTTCACACAGGAGGAACCATTCTGATTTAAAATAGATGCATTTAGGGTCATACAATGGGCTTAAAATCAAGTGACCTGGCAAGCCGGAGTTTTAAAAAGAAATAAATCAAGTATGTTTCATGCCAAAGTGCTCTGCAAAGTACACATATACACCTCTACCTCGATATAACGCTGTCCTCGGGAGCCAAAAAAATCTTACCGCGTTATAGGTGAAACCGCGTTATATTGAACTTGCTTTGAGCCACTGGAGTGCACAGCCCCGCCCCCCTGGAGCACTGCTTTACCGCGTTATATCCGAATTCGTGTTATATCTGGTCGCATTATATTGGGGTACAGGTGTACATCACCCCTGAGATCTAGCCGTGTTTGGGGTGGAGGGCAGCAGGCAAGCACCATGCAAACCACACAAGAGTTGGGGAGATGACATTTTGGCTAAAGACATCATGACAAACTCCCCAACTTTATGAGTAGTGCTATAAAGCTCCCTCTCTTGAGATGTTTAAACTTGACAAAGAGCTCAGGCTCTCAGGAATCCTGTATGGCAGGGTGATGGATTGGCTGACCCAACTGTTGTTTCCCTCTAATTTCACCTTTTTCTAAAGAATAAAGGTGTTATGATATCAACGGTGACATCAGCACAGCCAGTCCATTCACTACCGAGCACCAAATATTAGGTGCCATTAATGAAGGAATAATATGAGATTGAGAGTATCCAATCTCTATGCTACACATATGCTGTTAACATTCCCTGAAATATTCCTATTAACAAGAGGAGAAGCATCCAGACAGGGGTAGATGCTAGTGCTGGTTGAAAATTTTTCGATGTAACAGTTTTCCCTCCTGAAAATGCAATTTTGTTGAAATTGAAATCTTTTCCTGGAACATGTCAATTTTGACAACATTTCTGATAAGGAAAAGAGTCAAAACGAATCATTTTGATAATGTTGAAATGTTTTGTTCCATTAAGATAAAATGCTTCATTTTGACTATCATTTGAATTCATTTTGTTTAACTTGTACATTTAATATATTTATTTATTATCATGTTTCCACATTATCAGAATGAAAACATTTTACCTTATTAAAACAGAACATTTTGATTATTTTAAATTGGAATCTTTTGGAATTTTCATTCCATGAGAAATCTGGTCTTTTCATTCTGATTTGGAACAAAAACAAATGTGGAAATCTCAGAATTTCCCAGAGAATAGAAATTCCATTTTCTAGTCAGCCCTAGTAGGCACTAGTGGACATGGAGAGAAGAATTGGGGGCTGATTGCCAACTTTGCTCACAGAATAGTACCTTACTCCACAAGTAGCCTCATTGATTTCAGTAAGAGAATTTGTGCAACAAGGTACTACCCAATGTACGGATGGCAGAACCTGTCTTTTAAGCCCCAATATTGCCAAGACTTATGCACATGCTTAACTCTAGGCACTGCAAGTAGCTCTAGTCAACCACTGAAGTTGATGTAACGACTCAGGGTACGTCTTCACTTACCAGAGTGTGTACAGTTAATCACCTGTGTAAGTCTTTGTAGCAACAGGGTCTTAGTTAGCAGTGCACTGTAGGAAGGCCAAAGAGTTTGAGGCATAGTATAGATGCCAATCTGAGTCCACACTCCCAGCTGACCTGATGTCTTCTTAGTGGTGATATCTAGTACTATTTTATAATGCTTGGAAAATATAGATACTGAACAAATCAGAGACATTTCAATGTCAGAATCATACTTTTTTTACCTTCTTCATGCATCACTAATCTGAAATCAATGAAGCATTGTATGAGGGTCCCTTTGTCTCTATAACTAAACCTCTTTTCTTTCATTAAAGCTGGCTAAGGAAGGACTGAATGTTCCTTCCATTGAATCACACAGGCTTGTTCTTTTTGGCATGTGTCTAATGAACAAAACAGCACAGCACATCTGATCTGCTTCAATTCAGCGTAAAAGCTGAAACAGCCAAGCTGGAAAGTTGTGAACCTAAATCCACCCCTATTGTACTTGTGGCATATGCTAGCCAGATAGCTAGCCTATGGCAGTCTTGGTTCTACTGCAAAGATGTCATGCTGCTTGACAGGGGGTCTCTATAACCTTTAAGTCCCCATATGTGATGTCCATAGTACCTGAGCTAAGTGCATACCAAGAACTTCCCCATTCTGGAAGTCTGTGACACAGAGACCCTTTGGCAAATGTTCCCGTTCTTTGCAAGCAATTCTCACCTCCAACCTGACAAAGTCACTACATCAAACACATGTCTTATAGGATATTTATCCATAAAGAGTATCATGTGAGGATCTACAAGAAAGCTCATAACTGGTCAAGCTTCACAATCATTGCGAGATGAATGTACAGGTAATATTTGAGGAATAATATCTTTATATTGAAAGTATGCTCTATGAACTTGGAGTAGAAATTAATCACCAGGAGGTAACGTGCTGTGATAACGGCCCATGTGGGCAAGGGGGAGTCATCACCCCGCCCTGCTTGGCTGGTGATACAAGATCAGGCTCAATTGTTTCGCCTTGCGCAATACTAAGACTTTCAATGGGAACCCATCGGGGGCAATGGCAAACAACGGAAACCCTATTCATTGCAGCACATTTAGAATGATAAACTGGAGCATTTTATTTTAACATGCTTGGAGTGCTAGTTGCCTTTAATCAAAATGTCCATCGAGCACCCTCTATGACTCACCTCACCATGGTATTTGAGCACCGTAAAGTATCAGCTAACAATGCAGGGGTACAATTGCTAAATGCTAAAACAACAGATTAGAGTCCTTCGCTCATAGATCAGTTCCTCCACTAAGGAGCACGTTTTTCTGCCCAATGTTTGTTTTTACCTTCCCGTTTCCAGTTAGAAGTGTTGTGCTGAGCTACTCGGTGCAACGTGCTAACTAACTCTTTCTCCTCCTAGTGGCTGGCTTGCATAGTTCAAGAGCCCTTCTACTGCTGAGAGCTAATGGAGAGTCTCTATTAGCTGAAATGGGATTTTGGAGGCAAAAGCTGCTGGATTCTGTGCCGGCTGTCAACAGTGATGCCTATTATCTGCAGCACTTTGATGTGCTATGTCAGAGCACTTGCAGCCTCCTAACTCCCGGAGCCTCGCAGTAGTTCTGTGGTCCCCCGACATAAAGATCTAACTGCTGGACCCCTGCAGTGCTTAAAATGGCACCCTTGCCTAGCAGGCTATTTTTTGTTCCCCTCATAGTTTTCCTGATAAATATGGTGTTTCTCTCCTAAGTGGGTTATTTTCTCTCTAACTGTATAATTAAGCCATTGGTTGTCATGGAAATACTTTCCCTCTTGAAATGCCATCTACCAACATTCCCCCCCCCCTTTTTTTTTTGTTTTCTCAGCCCCTACTGCTCCTCTTCCCTACAAGATATAAGCACAGACAGATTACTCTTTTCTGAGCACCGGTTTCCTCAGCCTTTTTTGTTACCTCCATTTCCTTGGAGGTGAGAACCCCTCCATCCCCTCCCTTCTCAGCTCTGCTGCTGACCCACAAGGAAATGTGGCATCAAATTCTCCACTCCTCCTTTGCTGGGAAGAAAGCCCCTCCCACTGCTGGTGAGGGATGCTCCCTCCCAGTTCCGGGAGTCGAGCATTTTGCTTGGGAAATGCTCCCCCCTGCCCATGCTGCTGCACAGCAATGCTGGTTCTAGCACTTCCTCTCACCCTAACCAGGAAGGCTGTGTCAGCAGGTAGATGGCAGATGGCAGAGAAGACATGTGGGTAGTTTGGTAAGTGAGAAGCTCTTGCAGGGAGAGCTCTTATTGCCCTGAAGGTCCAGCTAGGGATCCCCCTGGCCCCAGGAAGAATGTGGGAACTCCAGAGGACTGCAGTGTGTTTAAGGGTCATGCATAGAGTGAGAGGAAGCAAATCCGCTGGAGAGGTAGGGCTAGATTGAGAGGAAGAACCTGTCAGTTGGGTGGGAGCAGGGAGCCTGATGTATCTGTCGGGGGAGGTGGGGCTTGTTAACCTGCCACCACAGGAGACCCAGGTTCCACTTCCAGCCCTGGTGACTTATCCCTACTGCAAACTGGCTGGAGAAAGGCCCTCAGCACAGAGCAGAAGGTAGGGGGAGGTAGTGCCCTCCCTTCCAGTGCGGAGTCTTGAGAGAGGGAGACTAAACTGGCAGAGGTAGCAGAGTCTCCGCTCTGGGCTCCAACAGGGACATGGAGGTACCAACAAACCTGAGGAAATGGGGGTTGGCAGAGAGACTGGAGGAAACACACCCCTGTTGGGTACGCTGTAACGGCTGTTATTAGTTACCCTTTGTTTAGTTCCCTGCTCCATCCAGCTGGCGTTAACATGGCTCCTTTTGTCCTGGTCACCATCAGGAAAGCGCCAGCTCAGCTCTGGCCCTAGGGGTTCCCCAGTTAACTTGTGTTCCCACTGCTAGGGGGAGCTTGCAACAGCAGAGCACTGATCACAGCCAGTCCCCCCTCTCTGGAGGGAGCCATCGGGTGTGTAGGCCCAGCTTGGCAGCCTCCTCGCACTGCAGCGAGTATGTAACTGCCAGCTACTGCCTGACGCCACCCACCCTGCCTCTCAGGCCGGGCAGCAAATCATGATCCCACTCCCCCCACTTCCTGTTCTTGTGCCATTTTGGCTTGATCCTGAACCATGCCCTAGCCATGTGCACCTGGCCAGCCTCAATCTGCAAGGAACTGCCTGCTGACAAATCTGGGGGGCCCTTTTCAGTACAGAGCCTGTATCCCAAACATGGGCTCTGACATGCTTCCCCTCCCCCCTCCCCAGCACATAATGAGGACCCCAATGTAAATGATGCAGAGTCCCTAATCTTACTCCCAGTGAAGTCACTGCCAATATTCCCAATGACTTCCCATGGGCCTGAAGGAGGGGAGTGGGTTATTTCATCATGCAACCAAAGCTGGAGCTGTTGGAATTCATACACCCAACAAAGCAGACGTAAGTTTGTGTATCAACAGGTGAGAATGGGAGGAGATTGAAGCGTGGTGCCAGTGATGATGTTGGAACAAGAGCTGACTGGACCGTTGCATTTTGAGGCACTATTCAAGCTTTTGAAATTTGATTATGTTCTGCTTTGGAAGGAAACCCAAACTGTTGAACATTTGCATGAAAACAGAAGCATGTGAATCCTGCTATTGGCCTGGGATGTGGGAACCCCGGGTTCATGTCCCTCCTCTGCCTGATTTAGAACACAAGTTTTCAGCCCAGAGCACTCTACATCAGTTAGAGCAGGGAGTTGACCATTGGTCTCCCACATCCCATTCCCAGTTATGCTAACCTCCCAGAGTCACACTCTTCCCCAGTGCCCAAAAACCTTCCTGATGAAAGTTTTGTACCAAGTGATTCATCGCTGTTAAACATTTCAGCTATGATAAAACAGTATATAGAAAATATTTCAAGCCACTCTAGTTGGAAACTGAACTGAGATTTTCCTGAGTTTGAAACTACGACAGTCCATTAATGTGGTTGGAAAGGGTAACTTTAACTCTCTTCTAACACCGTTTTCGTTTTCCTCTGAGACGATTTAATAGGCTTCCACTCAATTTGTAACTTTCTCCTTGCTGGGAAATCCATTCTCCACGTTATTTGAACATTTTTGTCTTACTTCTTACACCTCAGGATTTAAACTTAAATAAAAGGGCCAGATTCACTTGTAGACTTTGGCTGCTTTGCATTGCTGATGTCTGAAAGCAGATGCAAACTCTGTTTAACCAGCTGGTTACACTGGGTTTATGGCCATTTCGTATCACCAGAGGAGAGCAATGCAGTCAGAGCATAGTGGTGAATCTGGCCTAAAGGGTCTAAAGCAATTGGTCGAATCCCTCCTTAGTCTTTTTAGCCTCATGTCAATCATTAGAGCCGTGAATTTGTTGTCACCAGTGAACGTGCTGTCAGAGCACAATAATAAAGGAAAACAATCCTGATCATTTTTGCCTTCTCAATGCAGACAGCGTTAAACAAAATTTTTAATCTTCAATTTATAAATCACATGCAGATCCAGACAGCTGAAAATGACAGCAATTGTTCTGTTCTGTTTATGTAGCTAAAACATTTATTTTGCAAGAACACCACTCTCCTCCTCCACTGGTGGTTGGATTGGGCTAGAAGAAATATTAAAAAGGGTGGGATAAAAATAGGATGTATAATTTAATCTTTAAAAATATGTCAGGTTAATAATACAAGTGTTATGTGCTACACAGGACGTTTTTCTGAATATATGAGCTCAGATTTTTTCTCACCCTGGTTTTATACTGGTTTAGGTACGTTGACTTCAGTGGGGTTGCTCCTGATTTCCACGAGTGTAAATAAGAGAACAATCTGATCCAAGAGATTATCTTAATGGAAACATTATAATTATTAAATTGAAGACTGGAACTAACTGAGGGCCTGATCTTGTATTCTTTGAGCATGCAAAATTCCCATTGCCTCTGGTGGTTTTCGTTGGCTCACAAGGAATGCCAGATTGGGCCCTGAGGGAGGGAGAGCACATCTACACTACAAGCCAGCTGACAGCAAACCTGTCTGGACCCTGTGGGTATGTATTCAACCTGCTGCTAGTGCTACCCACAGCTACACAGCTGGTTTTAGGGCACTAGCTCAAGCAGAGCTAGCACATGTCTATCTATTCATGTGGGAAGCAGGCTCCTAGCTGCAGTGTAGACATACCCTGAGTGTATGCGTCATTATTCCCATTGTACAGGTAGAGAAACTGAGATACAGGGAGGTGAAGTGATTGACCCATGGTGAGTGTGTAGCAGTGCTGGGACTGGAGCCCAGGCATTCTGTTTCCTATGCACCATCTATTAGACCATTAGACTTGCCTCCTATGTAGTAGCCACTAAACTAAGTGCTACTGAATGCCATCAAATAAGTGCATTACTAGCAGGTCTTACCTTACAAGCAGTTCTTACCTAAATGGCATGACCAGACAAGCAACGAGGAGATCTGCCATGGCTAAGGACATAATAAACATGTAAGTTGCGGTACGCAGCCTCTTCTCCACCACAGGGCAGATAAAAACCACAGTATTCCCAAACAGAGTGATCAAGTCTATAAAGGTTAGTATCAATCCAACAGCCACCTCCCGGGGACCAATTCCTGCCCCTGTCCAGTTGCCATCTCCTCTTACCCAAGACAGGGCAGTGGAGGAGATGTTGGAGAGTGATGATGTATTTTTGTCCATCAGCATCTTCCCCCGGTGTTCAGAGCTGAAGCAGAGAAGAAAAAAAACACGGGCTTTGAAGCAAATTAATTCCAGGTCTATGGAAGAAAAGATGAAAACTATAATTATGTCTCATTCACTTAAAAAGTCCCACGCACCCTCCTGAGCAATCTGCCCTCGCTGTGTCATTGTTACCGATTCACTTGGGGGGGGGTTGTAATCCCAACGATAGTGTTATATATGTGCCACACTGGCTGAAAGGCATCATGAAAATTAAAAGCCTTCCTGTGAATGAAAAGCACATCATTAGGTGAAGCTTGATACAGGGAAAAAGCACTGAGCGCTGGAAAAAGAAGCAATGGGAATCTAGAATTAAAGCAGCTTTGCTAATCCCACTCACCTGGGGTGAGTAATCTTATTTGATGGGCAAGTAAAATATTTTCTCATTATCATCTTGGTCATTATCAAGGTGGATGAGAAGATTTTTTTGCCTAGGCTGGATACAAACATAACCCATTGTTCAGTACATGATATGTGCCCCCCCTCCTCTGATGATATGGGTCTGTTACAGCTCCTAGTCATGGAATTTGGTCCTTGAGCTCAAGCTATAGAGGTTTATGCTCTTATCCGTAGAGGTTCCCTAGTTCGACTCCCAGTAGTGATCAGAATGGTGGTGTAATATGTATTCATGGCTAGAGAGCTGGAAAATGGAATTTCCATTTGGGGGAAAGGTCTGACATTTTGACATTTATTTTCATACTGAATCAGAATGAAAAATTGAAATTTTCAGAGAATGGAAATTCCACAGAATGGAAATTCCCATAAATTTTGATTTGGAGACATCAAACCATTTCCGTTTGATAATGTTGAATTGGTCCATTTTCATGTCAAAGTGTTAGTGCAAACAAATTTGAAGAGGGTCAGTAGACACGTACTGCTGCTCTGGTACTATCCATAGCTGACATTGCAGTCACAAGCTAATAGCATACATATGTCACAGCAGCTAGAATTCACTTCCATAAACTCAACTAACCAAACTCAACCTCCCAAGCTATTGGAGAATCTCTAGGTATGACAGAATACACCCCTGGGTTCACACCCTCTACACTATTGTAATCAGTTTTGTACAAGGCATGTCTTATACGATATCATTTGAAAACTCATAACTTGCTGGTCAATATTGTCCTGATAAAATAAGTGAGGCAACATTCTATGTGACATTATAAGATTTCACTGTATAATGTTATTAACACATGTTCCAAACCCCACAGCCCTGACCAAACTGGGGTTGGCAAACAGGTCTCTCCTAAACAAAGGAATATATGCTCTGCTTGATTTGCACATAACCAGTAAACAGAGTCATCAAGCAGGAAGGAAAACAGAGAAAGCTCAATCAGGTGAGAAAACGCCATCAGGGAACATCCTTCCACATAGACACTTTATGTCCTAGTGCCCAGCTGGAAATGTTTTTCAAGAGGGGGGCTGAAACTATACAAAGAAGGGACAAATACCCAAAGCCCCCACTCTTTCTTCCCATCACATTCACTGCACCTGAAGTGACCAAGGAAGCATTTGTTGGACTCTAGTGTAAAGGTCCTGACCTACAGGGTTTGGTCAGTAAGACGCTGAAATCATGTGGTGAGAAACTTTGCTTGAATCTGATATTGTTTGTTAAGTAAGGTAGTAATAAATGTCTTATCTTTATTTTTCTTATAACCATTTCTGACTTTTATGCCTCGTAATTTGTACTGAGAATCTCTCTTTGTAGTTAACAAACCTGTTCTACTGTTTTTTTTCTAACCCAGTGTGTTTATATTGAAGTGTCTGAATAACTATTTGAGATAATAAGCTGGCATCTTATTCCATTTAAGGAATACATTGATTTAAAATATATTGTACTGTCTAGGAGAGGGCTGGGCAGTACAGGACATACATTTCTGGAGGGAAATTCAGGGCTGAGGGTGTGTTGGGGTCACCCTGCAGTATAACCAAGGCTGGCGAGAGCAAGAGTGTGACTAGATGTGGCTGACAGGCTGCAGTTACACACAGACACTCAGGGCAGGTCTATACTTACCTCCGGGTCCGGCGGTAAGCAATCGATCTTCTGGGATCGATTTATCATGTCTTGTCTAGACGCGATAAATCGTTCCTGGATCGATCCCGGAAGTGCTCGCCGTCGACGCCGGTACTCCTGCTCCGCGAGAGGAGTACGCGGAGTCGACGGGGGAGCCTGCCTGCCGCGTCTGGACCCGTGGTAAGTTCGAACTAAGGTACTTCGACTTCAGCTACGTTATTCACGTAGCTGAAGTTGCGTATCTTAGTTCGAAGTGGGGGGTTAGTGTGGACCAGGCCTCAGAGTATGACTTGCACACTGGAGGTTGTTTGTGAGTGGCCCAGCTGGGAGCTACTGCAGCAAAGCATTGTGAGGCACCCAAGGTTGCAGGGCAGGGGTGACACTCATTAGTCTGGATTATACCCTGGCATGTCACACTAGGAACCTGATAAAATGTGATACATTAAATCAAAATGAAGCCCACCTAACACCAGCCAGCCCCACACAGTATTAACCCATCTGCAAAATATCAAGCCTAGCCCTCAGAAATGCTGCCTCGCCCACCTACCAAAACAACTCTCCAGCTACAAAGCAAAGTCAATTCCTTCCCGACACCTGCCCCAGGATACCTCCCATCAAACACTCCAAAGCCTAGGACTTTTGATGCTCTGGCAAACCTGCACGGGGAAGCAACTTCCAGACCCTGGAGCCCATATTTTCTAAAGTGACTAGTGATTTTAGGTGTCCTGTTTGAGATGCTTCAAAGGGGCTTGATTTTTGAAAGAGCAAATAAATGAAGGGTACTTTGTGAAAATCAGCCTCTTTTAAGATGTCTCAAATTTTGCACTCAAAATCACTAATTACTCTTGAAAACATAGGCTCCTACAGTGAGAATGTCCTGCCCCAAGCACCCTCTCTATCAAACTAGGGGGTTGTTAGCTTGGCTGTCTCACGCGATTACTGCTGTCACAGTATCACATGCCGGGGGAGCAAGACAGTCCCTCGGATTGCCAGGACTCCAACCATTTAAGGCTTTTTTCATTTCAAGCCAACGCTTTAGAGCTCACCTGCAAATCCAGTGACAGTACGTGCAAGTCACGAGGAACCTGTGCCAGTGTATGTACTGATAGCTACTGGAAGAGTCTCTCTGAGGAATTAAGAACCTCCAAATAACCGTGGCATTGAGATTTAAGTCAATTTTTCAGTTCTTATGGCAACTATAGAGTGGATGTTCTTTCCAGTTTCATGCTCTTCAGTTCCTAATAGTCTAGGAGGAGCTGAAGGTTAACTGAACTCGTACGTCAAAATCCAAGACCTCATGGGAAAATTACCTTTCCATAGATAGCACAGCCTTCAGCTTCTAGTCTAGCAGGGGGTCATGTGTGACTGTTCATACACACAGCCAAACATTTTCTGTTCACACTGACATTCAAACATCCTTCATACTATACCCTGGGCAGGTTAATCTCTGAAATTTAGCAACTGGAATTTGAAGGTGTAAATTAGAATATGCATAGTCTTACTTTTGGCTCTTGATTTGTAATCCACTTTATTGACACAGACATATTTCAGTGAGTGAAACTTCCTGGGAGCTGGTTTCCCATTATCAGTATCGTCCTTGCTATCAGTATCTAGCACAATTGCCAGCTTTTGTTTGCTTGCTTGCTTCCCACATAATCCATATCAGGGAAAAAACCCTGATAATCTTATATCATCAGCACACTTTTCATATCAGTGAGGCATGCAGAATTTTATATTTAATATGTTCAGATATAGCCAGCTCCCAGGAAGCTGAAATATGTCTCAGAGTGGCAGCCGTGTTAGTCTGTATCAGCAAAAACAATCAGGAGTCCTTGTGGCACCTTAGAGACTAACAAATTTTGTCAATAAAGTGGGTTACAAATCCAGAGCCAAAGGTAGAAATATGTATATTCTATTTTACACCTTCACATTCAAGAGGCTAAATTTCAGACATTTATTGTTAACTATACTACTGTGTCCATACTATATTTTTTCTTGGATGAGTGTAGTTGCACAGTGTGCACATGTGTTTTATCTGGATATGAACACAACTGTATAGTTAAAATAAATGCATGAGAAACAGGCACTTCTATATACATTTTCAATATGTTGTTTGTATACATATGCACACTATACATACATAGCACATTCTGTATTGTCTCCATACTGAACTTTGTACTAACTGTAAATTGACGGCTAATTAAGACCTCTGCTACATAAAACACAGTGGAACTAAGCATGTGTAGCTGGCTTTTGGTAACTAGGGTACCTTTTAAACTGGAGAAAAGAAAATCTACTTTGCCCTTTTCTAACGTCCTTTCTCCCCACCCCCATCTGACCTTCCAAGTTTTCAAAAATAATAGTAGTAATCCAGCTTCTAGATGCTATATAATTAAAACCACAAGTAATGAGGTAGTATTGACACTGCTAGATTATAAATTCCTTGTTCCTCCTCAAGTCCTGCCAATTAAAGTGGTTAGGTTAATGTGCTATCCCAGTTGATGCAATTGGATTTGGGGAAAAAATGGTTCAGTGAATGGATGGATAGACACACATCAGAACACAAGACACAGAGGACAGGGGAATGCAATGCCAGTGACTGGTGAAACACAGCTGGCAATGAAGGGAGTCAGGGCATGTGCACTCACCTTTCCTTCCCTAGGTCTCCTGGCTTGAAGTTATTTCAGTGCTGTTTCCTGGAGAGCGTGCAAGGTGGAACAGCAGCATCTCTTTCTCCATCAGTGAGTGTGCGTCCAGGGGGTGCCTCCCTTCTGCAGCACATGGGGGCACACAGTCCTGGACGGCTCTGATTCAGCAGATCCTACTTTTAAAAATGCACCTGCTCTGCCTACACATCCTGGGCTGGCTGCAGAAACGGAGAGAATGCGAGACTCGCCCACCCACTGCTCCAAGTGGCAGCATTAACATCTAAGGCCACCCGGGGGCGCGTCTTCACCAAAGCACCAAGCACGTCGGTCCCCTGCGCTGGCTGGGCTGGGGCTTCTTGCCCTCCGCCGCTCAGTGGGGTCCGGTGGGGGAGGCCATTGCAATTAGCTTCTGTGCTTGCAATAAACAGGGATTGTTTCGTGGGCGGGAAGCCAGGGAATTCTCTCCCCGGTCCCATCCAGTCTGTGCCCTGGTCCCCCTCAGTGTCCGCAGCAATAGCGCTCAGCCCCTGGCAGTTAC